AGTGTGATAACAGTTTTACTGTCAGTATTCTCTTGGAATTATGTTTTGGTGATGTGCCAAGGTAGAATACACAATTAGTCTCCTGATGGTAAATGAATTGCACTGGAAGAGCTAAAAGGCTTTGCGAGGACCTGCCAAAAAACATTTAAATAATAAACACAATGATATAATTCTAGTAGAATAATTTGTATGTAATGTTTCATTTACCAGAAGATTATTTTCAAGATGCAAATTTCCTTAAAACATTGTAAAAGTTCATGTTACAATGAAAACAATGTCAGTGTGTCTGTTTTAAAGCATAAATATTGTTGTTTTACAGATTTTCTAAAAATGTATTAGAACAAAATGAATATAGTTCATGTTTAAAACCTTATTACTGTTAGTAAGCTTTTTATTTTTGGTTTACTTGCTCCTTTTACATAGGTTATACACTGTGGTCTTTAGTGACAGATTCAGGCTGCAAATCCGATCAGCAATGAGCTCTCACTTTCTGTACCCGCTGATACTAATTCGCAAAGTAAACATTCAGTGTTGAGTGTGTTTCTTGGAACTTCTGTTTATTAACTCCTGAGTAACTATTTTGTTTTTTTATATATCTTTATTTTATGCATTCCTCAGTGGTTGTATTTCAATATTAAAATATTGTTTTTACTAGTTGTTTAAGGACATTTACAAAATCTTGCTTCTGTTCATTTTTTGTCTTCTAAAGATGTTTTTTTATAGCTGTCAAATCATTGGACTACTAATATGATAGTAAGATGTAGTTACCAAAATAGGAAACATTAACCAAAACCCCAGCAGTTGTCATGGAAGGTCATTAATAATCTTTTTATTTGACTCAGGATATATTCCAGAGCATTTACAGCACCTGACAAAGGTGAACTCCACCCAGGATATAGGCAGTGACACACCAGTCAACTTACAATTGAAAGTGATGCAATGCTTTGTCCACCTCTGTCTCTGTTCATTATGGCAATGAAAGCCACTTATTGCTCTCAAGGGTGGCAGGAACCCAGAGCTCTGTGCCCAGAGGGTGTACACACAAAAAATTCAGAGACACCAATTCACCTAGTCAGCATGTGTCTGAAAGGTGGAGAAAACTGGAGAGAACGAGCAAGCTCCACCCAGTCTAGAATTGAACCTGGGACTGCCCTGTCTCATTACAAACATTCATCCATCCAGAACAGTTCAATTCTGTCTTACTAAAACAAAACCTGTGTTAGATAGATAAATACTTTATTAATCCCGTAGGGAAATTGATGAATTTCGATTTAGTTAGGCCAATATACCTGGTGTCAGAGAACATGTACAGTGCTAATGGAGAAATGGGCTGAAATATACTTTGTTTCTTTTGGAGTTGCAATCATCAATAGGCAATTATTATACAAATCATGGGAAGGAGGGAGTTATCAGTTCTGTTACACAGTAATAGCAGATTTCAGACACATTTACACAACTCACGTTTTATTGTATGCTATTCATCTTTCTCAGACAAAATTCACTCAGTGTTGGATGAAATTGGAAAGTTTTAACTATACCGTAAGAGCTTAGTCGCAGCAGAATAGAGAAAAACCCACTTCTGCTAGAATATTCAAGTTAAATATATAGAAAAAAGTGTAATTACATTATGTGTTGGAATGTTTGAGGATTGTCTGATCAGAACTTTTTATTATCTTCTTTTAAACTACACTCTACTGCAATACCATTAATATAAATATATTGTATGATATACAACTTTTTGGGGTCATAATAGAACATGTACGTTCTATGGTATGTAGAGGTTGTACTGTTATATTGCTGTTGGATTTAACAGTAGTCCTGGTATTTTGTGCTATTAGAAGTGAAGGTTTCTCAATCGCTGTTTTAGATTCGCATTTCACAAATTTCTCTACCATTTTTCTCAGGGAGACTAATTACAAAGCAGTGCTAAAAATACTTCTCGATGTACAACAGCAGATCATTATTTGTACAGTCTATTACAATAACGTTTTTTCAGCTCTACTTAAATTAACTTTACTTATAATCTAGCTTTATGAAAGCATGTTTGAATAGTGCACATAGGTACTGAAGTGGAACTACAGAAGGGAACTGGAATATTTGAAATAATAAATAAAGTAATATTATAGAAAATTGTTTTTGGATGTGAATTTTAAACACAATATGTGCAGTCATCCAGGTGGATGCTGCACATTGGTGGTGGTGGAGGGAAGTCCCCATTACCTGTAAAGAGCTTAGAGTGGAATGTCCAGAAAAGCGTAACCAATTATTATTATTATTATTAAGCAATTATTAGTTCTTTTTTAACCAGGATGTTTGAATGCATAGTGGGATGAAAGCTCAGGTTTCTTAGGCTGGGATAATCAAGTATAGATTTGCTTTCTTAATTAGATCACACACACTTTAAATGTCATAATATTGTTTCATATTTGCGATGCAGCGTCTCCCAAGTGTTCTCATTTCTAATAAGATGATAAATTATCACCTAATACTTTTGTGGGTAAGACATAAGTCCTTTTATGAACTTCCAATGTTACATTATGTTAAACTATTTAACAATTCAAAGTGCTAAGCCTGGAAAATTCACTGAGCTGGATCTGGATCACTTTAAAAACATCTTGCACTGCTCAATGTGTTTCACATACCCACAAACCCAGCTAATGTTACAAAAGAAAAGTTCCACAACCAAGTTTCTTAATGCAGTGCTTTTTGCTAACAACTATACTATTTCTTGGTGTTTTTCTGTAAAAAGTCTTGTAGCGGTTAAAATGTCACTTATACGCTTTTAAAATGGTCAAAATAAGTAAATTTGTGGGCTTTTAGAGAGCACAATCAAGCCATTTTGACACCGCATCTCAACTTTGTCTGATTTTTTTTAAAGATTGCATTGTTGCAAGTGGTGGCAGGAAATTACGAACTTCAATTGCCTGAAAACACCAAAGTAAAGCTTAATTGACAGTCTGTGACGTGGCGAGTTAATATGTTTGCTTTGTACGTTACACAACATTCGTGTGAGTTCTCTTGGCATTCTGTGACAGATGAGATGCAGAGCGATCAGACACAATGGGTCTCCTGCCGCTATAAACAAGCACTTATGAGAAAAGTGCTTAGAAGAAGTCTAAAATTCTCAAACGAGGAAAAACAGGGCTTACAGTTTGCTTAGCTGCATTTTGATGAACACCCTTTCCTCCATTTTCTCAACAAGAGAAAGAGCATTGTGTGAAGAAGTAATATCAGCCATAATAAACACAAAACTGTTTTGAAAATGTTATTGAAGCCTCAGTTAAGTTAAGTATGTTTTACACAGTAATATGAGTGTCACATTAGGTAAGAGTTACATCATGTAGTATGCATGTCAATCAAATCTCGGCTACTTAGACAATGCATTGGGAACTGGGGATGATAAGTAGGCTTTATCTGTCAGCTGACAAGAAGATCTTCCATCAGTCGCTTTAACCTACATCCTACTTGTGCGTGTTTATATTTATAATAGTTGTCAATTTAATTATTTTAAAGCAGTAATTCAGCTTTGCAGAATGTCTTTGTGTATCTTTTTATGATTCTACAATTATTTAAATTCACACTTTTAAAGAAGTTTTAAGATTAGCTTCAATAAATTGCATTTGTAGCAGAAGGAAACCAAAAGAAAAATACATTTTCTATTTATACACATTAGAAAGTTATTTAGATATGCATGCTGTCCAGTTTTCTTGTTGATTGATACTTTTTCATCTGTGTACTGTTCCTCCACTCATAGAAAAACATGACATTTCATGTGAATGAGAAGAAACATGCATTCTTTTACACTTCACAATATAAAATTAAGAGAAAAAGATTAAGAAAATTAAGAAAAAGAAACTGAAAACTTGTCTGCTTTTGACTTTAACCTTTAATTTTTGTAAATTTAATCAAATTTTAAACTTGTCTAACTTTTATTCTGTGCCCTTTTATAAAGTTCTCTTAATGTTTTCAAAACTCAAAACATCAGCGGAAAGTGTCAGAATTTATTCATTTAAATTTTCGAGTTGAAACTGAAATACTTTCATGTAAGAAATGATTGTGGTATTATGGACAGAAGCCCTTTTTTCTGTTACTTTTTGTCTATAACTTAATTGCTTCTTTAAATGGAATCGTGTAAAGTCTAAGAAGAACAGTCTTTTTTTGTTAGATTCCCAAAGCTTGTGTCTAATAATAATAATTTTTGGTTTAAAAAAAACTAACTATAAATATGCAGGTACAAATCATACCTCAAAATAAAAACTGTTGATAAGAGGTTACTGTTCTATTTTACCTTTGCTTGAAGTGTTGCAGTTTTATTCAAGTAAAACAAGAAATAATGGCCGCAATGAGCACTCTGTATCAACTGAGAGAACCATGCTCACTCATTTGCCAGATATCAGTTTTAAAGCACTTTCCAAACTTTGTGCAATTTTAACATCGTATTTTTTTACAATCAGAATGAGTACAGTATTATTTTATTAATTTCACACATTGTACAACTAAAAGAAAGCCGTGTGTTGTATTTTCAGGCCTTCTCCCCAATTACCCTTTAAGGTGGAACTTGGTAGTACTGTTTGAAAGCAGCAGTCTGATTAGGCAGTTCTTTTTTCCCCTCCAGTCCGACAGCCGGCCCCAAACACTTTGTGTGAATAAGGTTAGTGCAACATGTGGCCTTTAAACCCACCCAGCAACCACTGCCTGACAGCCACACTCAGAGAATTGTTTGTTAATAGTCCAATTAGATAATTGCCATCTTTCACTCCTTTTCCTCCACATTTCCCATAAAGGAATGAATAAGGAGAGCAGCGTGAAGAGGGCTTCTGCCCTGCAAGGTGACAAGAAGGGCTGGAGCATGTTCCTTGCACAAGGCCGTTTGCTTGAATTGAATCATTGTAGCCTAATCAATGGTCTTATTGGATTACTGGTCACTGCTGTTCCCGAAGATATTGTTGCGCTGACAATGAAATAACTAAGGGTGGGTGGGTTGGGAGGGGGGGCACCTTTTCTCTCTTTTTTGTATTTTGTAGATCTTTAGTTAAGATTTTCCGCACTGCCTGTTTCTTGCGGATATATATGAAAAGAAGGCTTGCTTTTAATTACCAGATCCTCAGGGTGGCTCAGAGGGCTGCTGTAGAGAAGCAGGAGCAGGAACAGCTCAGGAAAACTTTAACATGGCTGATACTGCTGGAGCTGTTTTGTGAATCGCAGGAGGCTTTCACTACTGCATATCCATCTAAAGGGGGTCCCGTGTTTTTGTCTCTTCTTCTATCTTCTCTCGTGCTCTCGCCCTCCTGATAATGCACCATACTGGAGTGCTCTCAGGTACGCGGCACTGATTTGGCGACGGACACAGTAAGGCGATTAAAGTTTGTGAAACAGCAATGAATAACTTAAGAAAGTTGAAATTGGCTGGTAATGTGTCTGGGATTGTAGGATGAAGTGTCTTGGAAGTTTTCTGGAAGTCTTACTCGGTGATTGTGTCTTGCAGGCTGCAACCAAGACCAATCATTTCACTTTATTCTCCGGCTGAATTCTGCCTGACTGGGGACGGAGCGCACAAACCCTCCATTAAGACCTGATATATTATCCAAACAATTTAGTGTATTCATGAGGTAACGCAAATGTGGAGGCTGCAAAATTACCGTAATCAATTGAAACAGCAAGCGTGCGTCCGTCTGTGTGTCTGATTATTTGGAGATCACCTAACAACTAGATGTGTATGTAATAAGGCAGGGGCATTAAATCACTGTTGAGTTGTACTGGTAAGTCTATGATCATTGGGCAAGTGAGGCTGGACAACCATAATAGGGCTGCCAAACGGATGAAGCAAACATCTCCCCTTGCATTAGGTAGTCGACTTTGTACCTAAGAGGTGCTGTTTTAAAAAAAAGAAAGAAACACGAGGACAATATAACGTGCAATATTCCCCATTATATCTTTTTTTCCAAACAACGCGTACGAGGGGCAAAGCAGCATGGATGTCAGATACAATCAAGATACCGAGACTGGAATCGTGCTGAAGAACGGACTTAAGGAAGCGAAAGAGAGCAAGGATTCTCAAGGAAATCTTTCCAAATCATTTTTGAAGGATCAGCAGGAGACCTTCTCAGCTTCTGGGACATCAGAAAACTGTGAAAAAAACAGAGCTAACTCGGCAGACCCAGACTACTGCAGGAGAATCCTAGTCAGAGGTGAGAGGCTCTCCTAACTGCTTCCAAGAATACTACAGCACGGTTTTTCTGTTTTTTGTTCCTCTTTGAAATGTACTTTGAAGACTTTCCTTTGTAATACTACAAATTCCATGTTTGTGTAAAAATATGAATTTTAGCATACTCAGATCATTAAAATACTTGCTCACGTAGTATTTAACATGGAAATAAATGAGCATATAATACCGAGTTTTTTTACTATGAAGCTAAATTCTCGTTATCTTTTAAAGTTCTCAGCTTTTTTAAATTTGAAGTTTCAGATTTCTTATAGAGCTTATATAAAACATTAATAATATACGAGTAAAACTTATTTGTAGTGTCCTGTTCTCTTTTCTTCCAGGGTATTTTATGGACCTCCGTAGTGTAATTAGCCATTATCTGAAACACTGCAAGTGGTCTCACGCCTAGATGCTGTAATTTTTGTGAACCACAAATTCATTAAAAGATAGCTCTTTGATTTTAGTTTAGATATAAGTAGAAAATAAAGGGTGTTTAATGGAGTTTCTCAAACGAAGCTCACTTTGAGTGCTGTTTTAGACTGCCAGGAGGCTTCTGATGTAATGTGTTAACATTTAAAGCAACAGTCTTACAATAATCATTCTCTATTGTTGTGTAATATTCTATAATTAGAGCGCACAGTATAGTAGAGCAAAGGAGGCATAAAATAAAAAAGGTAAATGTGCCATGTCAAAAAGAATACAATCGTACTGTTAAGAGCAGAACAAATTCCGTGTAGTTTTCCAATAGTAGCCCTAAGAAATCTAATTTTATTCTAGATCTGGAAAGGATATGCAAATCTCTGATTTCCAGAACAAATCAACACATCAAGAAACGTGTAATTAATTATATATATATATTTGTTTTTCTTTTTGTGTTAACTGAACTTACCTTCTTGAAATGCATTCATTCATGATAATTTCCTTAATTAAAGACAGTATCTCAAATTAACCCTTATTGTTCAATAGATAAGCAAGACTTTTTGGAAATAAGATTAATACCTTTTTTTTTAAGAAATGTTTTCACATTGACATAGTAGAAGAGAAATAGGAGAATAGTTGAGCTTTGAAAGGAGGTACAATTTTTTCTTTTATAAAATAAATTATTATTGAAATCTCTGAAATTATTGAAATTAAATTCTTTAATGCAGAGGGTTGTCTATGTATCGAAAATATTGACATTACTATTTGGAATTCTTGCACATAAATACAACTGGGTTTGCTTAAATGGGAATATAACTAAAGTCACAAGAGTACAAGTTTTATTAGAAGTTCAAATATTTTAATACAAGCATTTTTAAAAGTATTTTTAATACTACTTTAGTGTACTGTTCAGACTTTCATGTTGTGTAATGCTTTTTAAAATAAATGAGTACACAGATCTTAAACAGAAGTAATGGTCTGGGCATTGACAGTCATAAAATATGCCAGGTAACCTTCTGATGGCTTTGCTATCTTGCTTCAAGAATGATAGTGAGGTAAATAAACATGCTTGGTTTATATAGTGTGCTTACATACTTAATTTACTATGGCCATTAGAAAGAGGCGATCACATGATAAAAAGCAGATTAACTAGGTTCCTTGCTCAGCATTTCTAGAATTTTGTATGGCTAGTTTCACTTGTTTGTCACGTCAATAAATAATACATTAATGGCATTTTTATGTAACAATTAATTAAAGATTTCATTTTTCTTTCCCTTTTGTTTAAAAAGGGAAGTCTTGTGAAGTTTTTTTGTCCTTAAGACAAAGTAATACAGAATAGACACAGTTATACATTGAATGAATGAAAATGTCATATTTGCACTGCATATTTTGAAATTTTATGTCTCTTTATTGTTAATTGTAAAAATGTAATCATTGCAACAAATATTGAGCGAAGTGTAAAATAGCTACAAAGTTCTTCGAGAATATTATTAATGTGATGTGCTTCTAGAAGTAATTTTTTGCACAGAAGAAACTTGAGAAATATTCATAAAACCTTTTTGCAGTCAAAATTAAGGATCATCCACTTATTCATATTAAATAAAAAAGTACTACAGACTGTTTTTCTTTGAAGGTAGAAAAATCGAGTGATTATTTTATTCATTTTAGTGTCATTAATATTTAATTTTCACACTTTATTAATCAATCACCTTATATAAATGATAAATAGCACTTAAAGGTATTTCACACTTGGTTGTTTATTACTTTTATTAAATATTTAATAAAAGCCTGTATTGCAACCTTCTGAAAGATACTTTGCAATGTAATCAAATTGGCATAAATCTTTAATTTATATTTAATTATTTTTGTGTTATATATACTGTAGATGTGTGCACACTTTTAAAAAAAAGTTTGACTTCCACTTCAGACTGTGTCTTTGTAGTCTGAAGTACATAGCTGAAAGCTGTTTATTTAATCCATCACTATACTGATTCTTCTCCAAGGCATTAAAATGGAACTTTCAGCAAATATTGCTGAAGGTCTTTATGGAATCTGTGTAAAATACAATAAATCATTATATCTTCGTTAATCCTTTCTACCTGAAGAGGGCAGAAGCTTAGGCATTGTTCTTTTTTTACCAAAAATACAGTGGTATTCTATTTCATCTGATTTTTTAAGAAGTAACAGTTATTTACAGTATGTTAATTAAATTATTTTCTAAGTGTAGAGATGCATAGAGGTGACAAGAAATTACACCACAATTTTTCCACATTTGTTAGTGGTCCAGGGGAATATAAAAGGTGTCATTCCAAAATGCAGTGTCGTATGTGTTTCATTTGAAAGCCTGGATTTATGGCCGTGGCCAGCTTTCCACAAACTGTGGATACTCAAATAAAATAATCAACAAGAATTCAACAAAGACTCAACAAATCTGTTCATCTCCTTTGCAAAGTACAATAATCCATTCTGGCTTTGACTACCTAAAGCAATACGTCTATCATTTGTTGAATTGTGATGTCATGTATCATTTATTTCCCCAAAATCAGAAATTCTGTTGCAAAAAAGAATCCTCCAAACATTTCTATTATTACATTTTCTGGTGAGAAGTGGCTGTGGCCTCGCACATAAAATGACTAGCTGTGCTGTTTATTTTGAGGAAACTATTGTGGTCCCCAAATAACATTTTGAGTTCACTCTTAAAATGACACCCCAGTAAGGGCTCCACGCCTGACAGGCACACTGATCCTTACTGCCCTTCTTTTCTAGATGCCAAAGGGTCCATCAGAGAGATCATTTTGCCAAAGGGTCTGGACTTAGACCGGCCCAAACGCACCAGAACGTCTTTCACTGCCGAGCAGCTGTATAGGCTGGAAATGGAGTTCCAGCGGTGTCAGTACGTTGTTGGACGGGAGCGCACTGAGCTGGCCCGGCAGCTCAATCTCTCTGAAACTCAGGTAACGATCGGCATTCTTCACTTTATTTCATAATAACATGGGGACAAAGGAAAAAAAAAAGAGCTCCTCTCAGAATGAACTGTCTATGATATTCTTTCCAAGCCACTCTCTTGAATGTAAGGAATTCCCCATGTTTTTTTTTGTCCTTGTCGTGTTAGGATTAATCCAATATGGGCAAATTTAATCAAAACACTAGAGAAGAACAATACATTTGTGAAACGCTGACAAATTACCCCAACGGTTAATCCGAAGAATTCAAGGTTTGAGTATCTGTGAAGGCAGGAGTGCTTAACAAAAGTGCTGACGCCCAAGATGCATTTTTATAAATTTTCTGAGCGAAAATATTTTGAGAGAATTAGAAACATGAGCTGCATGTCTGATGCTGAAATTGGCAGTTTCAATCAATTGTAATGCAAGGGAAGGTTCGCAGGAATTACTTCATTTCAGCCTTCCAAGGTTTGCTTATTGGTTCCTGCATTTGTTTGAGTATTTTTTTTCTGATTTTTCTCATCTCAGTTTTTAGAATGCGCCATTGTATTCTTGTCACAACGATTGCTGTCTACAGAGCAGGAAGACAATCGATGTAGGATGCCATTGCTGCTGTATTATCAGCTGTCTTCCCTCCCTTTAAAAACTGACTGACGGGGTTCGATTATGTTTCGGTGAAATACCAGCATTTAAAATGGCTACAATTATTAAAATACGTGTTTTTAAATTCAAAACGCACAAAATGTGCCTTTTCAGTACCATATGTATTTGGTCTATATCAATGTATTTATGGAATATCTCTAACCTTATACTGTAAGCGGCGATTGTTTTCTCTAACATTCACATTCTGGGTGTGTACCCTATGAATATTTAGAAAAGGCACGAACAATTAGTGACCTATTTCTTTAATAGGAGAATGCAAGATATTATTACCGTCATATGCAGATTATTTGTATATATATTTAAATGATCACCTAAACCATAATAATAATAAAAATAATAATAAAATAATAAAAATATTATTTTCCAAATCATAGAATTTTTAAATGTTATAAAGTGCTCCTAGCATTGCTCTCACATTATGAGCTGCCAGCTGCAATTCTTAGCTTTAGGGTAGAAATCTCTAGCCAAAATGAAAAAGTTGATATACAGTAGCATGGATGCATTATTCAGTTGAATAAAGGTCAATCTATGTCTGTTGTACTATACCACATTTCCAGCAGTGATAGTGCCTCTTCATTCATCCTAATTCTTTGCTGTGTGTTATCAGTGAGTACAACCTTTCTTCACTTCTTGGGAAGCTGCTCCATCTTTGCGACATTATGATCACATGCCGTTAACGGTCCCATTTATATTTTTATTAGTTTACTTTACTGTGTTCCCCCTTTCATTCTTACACGGATGTTGCTTTCATTGTGTGCACATAAATTTGGCCTTCTGAATGTGATGTCACTATGGGACATTTATTAATGTTTAAATTTTATGGTGATGTTGGAAAGGCAAAACTAAATACAAATTGAAAGGGTTTAAAGCTCATCTAAATTTCTAACTGAAATCCAGTGAAGTGCTTCAGACAATACAGTCCTTTTATGAAAACAAGGTCTTCAGCTATCAGAATAATGTGAGGATTTCACTTTTAGGAGTTTTGATTCTTTTATAGTTAACCCCTTGCTAAATATCTGTAGATGAACCACCATCATTTCAAATACCAGATTATGCATTCTTCAACAACAAATAATTTAAGACAGAAGGTAATATCTGTAATTTTTCCCCAAAACTGCTATGTGCACTGTTTTGGTAAAAATAAATGCACTCTTCATTGTTGAATTCTAGAAATAATCCACTCAAAACTGAAATGAAGTGGCTGCAAAGTGCAGTAATTTAGTTTATTTCCAAGGAAATCACATTTCTCTCCTGCAGGGAGAAAATAGCACAATGAGATTTTGTGTAGAAACTTTGTTAACTCAACCATTTATTGTTTTTCTTAAGATATTTTGCATTTTTAGATCACTGAAGCGCTGTTTAGCCACACACAGATCTATTTCAAAAATTATTTTTTAATAGAAAATAATATATCAACAGTCTATTAAGAATAAATGTTTATGATGTTTAGGAAATTATCTACACTTAGTTAAACACAAGATGAACTGAAAATTCAACAGATATATGTGCAGCATTGAGTATTCCTCTTAAAATCTGAGTGGTATAAATAAAGAAATGCATAAATGCAAATAAATAAATAAATACATTTTAAAAGTGTATTTACAAAAGATGTCTTCAAAGATGTGCTGCAAAACAATGATCACTTTCGATTTGTTCTGCTTGTTTATAGATAGCTTGGGAAAGGGCAACAACTTGCGGAAACATTCATTGTAGTGCTCACAAAAGATGTCATTAGAAACTCAATTTATGTTTACAGAAGAAGAAATGTAAATAGCGAGCCTTGTCAATGGATTAATTTATTGGATTATGGTTTATGTAAATGTGATTGAGCTATGCAGCCAGGTAGCATAACGGTGCTTGATTATTATTGTGCTTCATCTACTCACATTATTTGCAGATTGAAAACAATCAGGTTTGATTGTGTAAAGAGGGACATGTGGTGTAACACATAAAATTAATCTGTGGACCATTTACAACTGTTGAAAGAGAAACAGGTTGAAATGGAAAAATAAACAAATTTAAGTATTTCAGTTTTTGTTTCTTATTAATTTAGATTTAAATTCATTTATACATTGATGTCTGCATAATTACAGGTGGATTTGGAAGTGACTGTATTAAGATGTTGTTTGGTGTTTTTTTTACGTTATAGTGTGAAGCCTTTGTTTTAGTGTTCTCTATTTCTTAAATCCAGCCATTCACTACATGAGAGTTTTTTTTCATATATTGTTTACCAATTGTTTTAAAATAATAATTAAAATACCTATTCAAATGTTATTTCAAAATGAAACAGAAAAGTTGATTTAATTTAACTGAAAAAAAATGCATTACTGTATACAGTATATAGTTCAAATAAATGACTTACTAGCTGAGTTAAACTTGTAATTTTCAGAACAAGGATCCATTTGTAAATATATTAAAGCACAGTTTTTTTATTTTTATGGAACTTTAAATGTCTTTTTCTCTGAATGACTGATTTTCTTAGATATACATTTGTATGTTTTTATACTTTGAAGTAAATATAATTTAAACAATAAAATAATAATAAAGACTGATGCCAGTTTAAATGTAATTACATTTTGTTTCTGGAAACATGTAACTTTCAGGAGGAATAAATGGTTGTTAAGGGATGTAAAATATTTTTGTACAAAAAAATATGGAAGTATTATTGGAATGCCTTATTTTAAAAGATTCATTTAGTATTTTATGTGTTTATCAAACTGTTTGTTTTCTTACTTAAGCTGGCATGTATTTTGTTTTGCTGTCTTTAGATAAAGTGTGTGGACTTTCAATAACACTAACATTCTGCACAGCTGTGACTTTCAAAGAGGAGCTGTTCAGTCCCGAATTGCTAAATTTCAGTTCTGTACAACCAAGTCTTGATTTTACAATTCTGTGCAAAACAAAGTATTGTTGCAAATACTTTGTTTTGTTGGAATTGATATAAAAACAATACCTTTGTTACTAAAATGTGAGATGGGAGATGTCCCAAAAAGTTTAGATGACCTACTGTACAATAAGTATTCTTTTCTTTAACTTTCCAGAATCTTTGAATGGCTTTACTGTTACTTTACTGTGTTGGCTTTTGCCAGTATTTTATGAAGAAAACCTCCTCCTTCTGATGGTTGAACATTTCAGCTTACGGTTCATTTCTGTGTCTTTTTGTACTGGGCCGTGTGTAGAGTGACCAGTGAAAGCACGTGCTCGTCTGGGCTGATCAAAGCCTTATCCACCAGAAAGCTGCTTCACGCGTACCCTGCGCAGCAGAGACAGAAAAAAAATCTCAATGATGAAAGAAAAAACACAGGTCTCCTTGCACAGCTGTGTTTTTAACTTTTCTTTACAAGAAGGCATGTGAGAGATCGGGGGAGGGGGGAGAGGAGGGTACCGGGAGGAGAGAGTGTCGTGTTATTTATGTTTCACAAAGTGTATTTAAAGATGTTTTTATTTTCCTGTTTGCTTTGATAAAGGTAAAGGTTTGGTTCCAAAACCGGAGAACAAAGCAGAAGAAGGACCAGGGCAAGGACTCCGAATTGAGGTCTGTGGTCTCTGAGACAGCCGCCACATGCAGTGTGCTGAGATTACTGGAGCAGGGGCGCCTTCTTACTCCTCCAGGCATACCTGGACTCCTGCCTCACTGCACTAGCTCAACGCTGGGGTCTGCACTTAGAGGCCCTACTATGGGCATTGCCAACAATGGTACCAGCACCACTGGCTCAGGGACAGCAGGCAGCTCACCTTTGCCAGCGGTGACCACCTCAGGGGCTGCAACTGGGCTGCAAGGCTCCCAGCCCACCCATGGGCTCTTCAGCTTCCCCATGCCATCTCTCCTGGGGTCAGTGGCTACCCGGATTTCCTCCAATCCCCTCTCTATGGCCAGCTCCCTGGCAGGAAACTTACAGGAACTGTCAGCCAGGTACCTGAGCTCTTCTGCTTTCGAACCCTACTCCCGAACCAACAGTAAGGAAACGATGGACAAAAAAGTGCTGGAATGATCTTTTACTGCTGTTTGTTCTTTGCCTATTCCTCCTCTGTTCCTTGTTGTCGTTGTCCTTGCTATTGACAAACTCAGCTGCACACAAATGCCTCTCGGAAGAAGGCACACTCGCGTTTATCCTGAAAATGAACACGAGTTTTCAGAATTCGGCGCTCCAAAGCAAAATTTACTCTGCTGTTTTCTGCAAGTATGGAAAAGGTCACATCTAGTAAGACAAGGAGTAGGTATATTTCTATTCTATTCACACTTTTTGAAAATTATGCATAGTTTTTAAAAGCAGATCAAATTTTGCATTGAAGCTTTGAAAATCATCATTATAGTGTTTTGTTTTCACACCATAATGGTATGCTGCTGATAAAGTAACACTATGTGCTGAACATTTGAGTGGCAAGGCTTGCATCTTTAACAAGAGTTTTTTTTTAAAGAAAATGTACACCACAAATGAATCTGGGAGTAGCAGGTTGTCAGGCATGAGTGCTTGTAAAATAATCGCACTGGTCTACAGGGTACAGTCATGAACTCTGCTCAGAAATTCAAGTTCTTGTGTGAACTTACAACGAAAGGGCACTAGGGCTCCTTTTCAGGGGCTGACATCTGAGATTAGTAAACCTATGAGAATTCGTTCAGGCTTGTTATAAAACGGCTTGTTCCACTGAAAAGCATTTTTTTTTCTTAAAGCTTTTTTTTTTCCAGGGTAGAAGGGTAGACACTACATGGAGCAATTGCAATTCCAGATGAGCAGGCTTCATCTAATCTGAGCAGGATAATATAAAAGTACAGTCATTATGTTGTTGCTTTTTTCAATGAAAACAAATTATCTACAAATTTAAAAAGATAATATAATCATGCTAGTAAAAATCATTAGGTAGTTGTTCATGGTTTTGTGATGGATCTCCCGATATAACTTTTAAAGTCTAAATTATGTGACATTTTACCTCTGAAGATGCAGTGTTTCATGTTTATGTCTTTGGTTTATAAATTAGCAGTATAGTTCTCATTGTCATGTAGAAGTAGCATTTTAAAAACTTGAAAAATCCCCTTTAACACTTAAAAGCACGAGGAGAGTGGGAAATTGACAAGTATTCAAAATTTACATCTATTTTACTTCTGCAAGCTGCTCACCAGTTTGATATCCTAAACATACTCACTTGACTTTTGTATAATCCTTCTATAATATGTAAATCGTAAACTGGACCAGATAGACAGAAGGATGAGAGTGGTACAATTAAATGATTGTTGTATAAAGTGAAAGAAAAGTTGTAAGAAGAAACTTGCTATTTTATTGTAAATTATTCACGTTTGTAATTAATAGATTATTAGTATATTGGGGAAATAATGAAGGAATGAATGTAAAAGGTGAATCATTAATCAAATGAAGCTCTTGGTGCTGTCTGTGTTAAATATATTGAACATTGTGATAATGTGGTGCGAGTCTGAATATATATATTATATATACCTAAAACAAACAGGTGTGTTTTTGTGTGTGTGTTTAACATCAAGCCAATCACACTCCAGGAGACGTGTGAAACGGCGGAGGAATGCTATTGCACTGTTTTCAATTGTACTCGTAACATAACTAAGACAAATAACAGTTCTGATACATTCTCTCAAAAATCAACCAGTATAAAACATATTTTCTGAAAGTCATACAAGCAAATGATCCTCTGTCATTTTCTATGGAGCTTTTATTCAATAGGATGTTTCAGATAAAGATGATGATGCTTGGTAAAGGGAAAAATAATGAATAAAATACACAATTCTAACAGTATCAGATGGTAAAAAAAAGCTGAAAGTATTGTGAAGTAAAGGGAAACACAATGTTATTGTTGTATGGTATTATTGTGAGAGCAGGCTTAAAAATTGCATTGCTAGAGAGGCTTGTTACTTCTCTAAATGCGTTGTAAAGTAGAAGACTAAAACTTAATTTACTGAATAATAAATTAATCAGTGATGACAGAAAACATAAAAACACTATAAATAATATTTTCCACAAATAAAAACATATATTAAGAACAGTCATAAGATGTATTACCTGAAACAATGAGATATAGGTAAGCTAAACAGGTCACATAAATTGATAGTACAGTATGTCAACTTTTGGTCCTTATCACTCGGTGGTACTTTGGGAATTAAAGTATTTGACACACCCAGCCTACTGCACCACTGCATTCTTAAACTAGTATGTATATATAATGTTAATTATACCGTATAAAATTCAATAAAATCATCTGACATCCATACTTATTCATTGACAATATTTTATATACGTTACAGTAACATTTCAATAGCACTTTTGTTTTTATACTAAAAAAATAACTGTGCCATTATCACTACTTTGAAATTAGCTTGGCACCTTTTTGTCTTACAATGTGCCACAAGTGCATTGTTAAAATATTTTACCTTCAGTTTGATAATTCTGGACTTATAAAAAAAAAATCTACAGTACTTTTAACCTTATGCATTTAGACAACAATTTTCTTTTTCTCTGGAAAAAATATATTTTCTTATTATTGTCCTACCTGTGTTGATAATATTGTTGCATAATGTAGGGATCATATATGATACTTTAAGGAAGATGTAGGTTAAAACAATTAAATAATGATAAATGCACATTTACACAATTTAATTATTTATTTAAATACAACTTTTAAAAATACACAAACCAAAAATGACTGGGTTTTATTTTACACTTCAAGTATAAATGTACATTTACCTTGTCTTAAATTCTTTGATAAGAACTGTTATCAATTTTTTATTCAGTCTTTTGAAAAAAAGTATCTGTCTGGGATTGTGCATTTTGTTGGTGTTCAGTATTTTGTTGCAAGAATTCTATGTATAAAATACGGTATATGTAAGTCAAAAACTACAAAGAAATGTGTGATTACTGTTCTATAGAAGTGGATAAAATAGACATATAACCTTACTCCTGCAGTCATACTCCACAGCTCAATGAAACACAAAATCACACAGCAAAACGGGAAGTGGCAATCCTCACAAAATCATTTTCAAAGAGGAGAACTTTGGTGTGGGATTTTGAAATCAATGTTCAAAAGGTGAGAAATTGAATTTTATTGAAAATGTGTTTTTGTGGGGACTTCAAATGTTTTCATTTAGGGTGTGTTCCTGTTATGTGATAAAGAAGAAGAAAAACATCAGAGATTGTCTGAGTCATCCTTTCTCAAATTTCAGGAGTAGATGGGCTTAGTAGTAAGGCGATCACCTGTGTAAGAGTTTCCTCTGTTATTAAAACTATGGCAATGGAACATGAAAACTTACAGCACCACAGCAGAGGACATCTTGCACAGCATGCCAAAGCTTTGCCGTCTCTGTCTTGAAAAACACTTGGAGCTTTTCAATTGTTATATTTTCTATGGCGCAAGGAATCCCACTAGGGGCGATGAAAAGAAATGTGTTTAGTTGTCCTTACTGGAAAAAAAAAACACTTGTGCAAGGAACGAACCATTTCTGTAAAGCAGTTGTACTGGTCACGAAGCTAGGAAAAGTACTTACTGCAAGAAAAACGATTTCTGGACATATTCATATATTTTTCTTAAAATTAAATTTTTATTATTTTCACAAAAGCGTGGTGCGAATGGAAATAGTAAAACCCTCTTGAGTTTGAGAATTTTTCCCTTCTCCATGGTCGTGTTTTTTACAAAATGAGAAACGAACGGAGAGTGTTGTACTGGTGTGAAAGTTTGATGATATAGACTTGGCTTTGATTAATTCATCTAGTGTTTGTTTCTTGAATTCTAGAAAAAAAAGATCAGAACTATTGGGTGGATAGCTAATATGTTCATTTGTTTTATTCATTAAACTTATTCATAAAGATATCGATCAGGTAAGTTGTGTATATTAGAATTTAAGCAACATATATTTCAAGATTTGAGACCACAATTCATCACTCTGTCAAAACAATTAGGGTTACTAATTTTGACAAAATAAAGCTCGTTTTAAAACATAGTCCTTTATATAAATACAGCCCAAAATATTGTGTGTTTGTTCAAACTTTGAAGTTAACACTTAAGAGATTAATTTATTTGTGCCTCTTGATTTTAACATAATAGAGCTTTCTTTATCGACTACATCTACCATTTGTTATTATATTTGAAAAACTAAGACAATAATATCCACCCACTATCAGGGAGCTGGCTTTTCCCTGTCAAGGGCCATGGTACCTGGGAAGCAGAGGGCACAAGGCAGAACTATACCCTGGCCAGGATGCCAGTGTGTTGTAGGGCACACACAATCACACAGGAAAAATTTAAAGTCAAGAAAATAACACATATGAAAATATTAAGTATTGGAAACAGCAAAGGAAAGTACTGGAAACAACAACAGAAATCATTTCAATCAGACCTGAGAACATCTGTTGCATTTATTTTCCTTCTTGCTTGTTTCCAGGAAGGGAAACTACCACTGCATCATGTGCGAAAGTCTGTTGTAAAATGTCAAGATCTCAACCAGTTTTACATATTTGCACTTCCCTGATTTGTTTGTGCTCTTTCTTGTTTTGGGCTAAATTGATTTGTTTCCATTATGCACTACATTTGCAATTAACTTTGAGAAGTATTTTCAAAAGCTGTTTTAATGGAAGCTATTCTTCATACCAAATAATTACGGGAGGGGAAAACCAAGAGAAAATAAGGCAGAAGACTCGAAATAGACCATTGTAAGAACATGAATCTACAGATGAAACTCACCTCTAAATGTTAGCTGAAGATGTTAGTGCTTTTCTGAATCATGTTTATAATGGAACTTTTAAATATACATTTTTAAAAAGAGACTTAATGGTCAGGCTTTTGACATTCTCCTCATTATAATTCTCCACATTGATTAACACTTGCAATACAAGTGTTGAGATATTCTTGTCAAATAAGTATCTTGATAAGGTTTAGTTGAACTAAATAAAAGCACGAAAATAAATTATTTACTACAAAAATTCATGTGTAAATAATGCAGTTTACCTAAAATTGCACATTGTTCCTTGGGACTTTGATTCCATTTTGGTTTTCTTGCATTCTGTACAATTTCAAGTCTCACACAGCTAATATTACCCTGTTTCCGAGACCCCTGAACAATAACCTGCAGATCTGCTGGCTTTTAGATGTAAAGCTTGGCCAAACAGAAGACTTGCATAACGTGACACAACAATTCATAACCATACCTAATCATCAGTCCTTTTCTGGAACTGGTTTGTACATTGAAGAATATTAATGGGCTTTGTTAATGTGAAGATATTTCCCTGTTAAGTGTACCAGCAGAGCTGCATTAGACTCAGAATGAATAACGTATGGTTCTTTTAACCCTTTAAGACTAATGTTTGCATTAAAATTTTGATCCATCCTCCAACTGCAAACAAGGTATTTCTTTATGCACATTTCCACTGGTGATTCGATGGAATCTTTTGGAAAAAATGGCTGCTACCAGGTACTGGGTGTGTAATTTCTAATCCACTGACTAGTAGATGGGTCATTTTTTAACGTTCCAATATTTACTCTGTCTATTGTGCATTTTACTATGACACTGATTCTAAGTACAGAATGTCAATGTATCTTCTGCTGCTGAGTGCCAACAAAAATGGTGATGGTGTGTTTCAAGATGTTATAATGAATAGCTGTTAGTAAAAATAAACACTTGCCAGTACATTTTGCATACCACTATTAAAGAGAAACTAAAGCTTTTTATTCTTTTTTTTTAAATCAAAATGTAAAATTAAGTTAATACCCTTTGCGGACAGCTGTGAATTATCTTTGCACACAATGATTCAAGACCAAACCATTGGTTTTACCACAAAGCTCTCTCACATGGCTTATGGATTCATAGAAACTAATTAAAAATAAGGGCGTCTTCAAAAATGTCTTCTATCAACTCTCCCCAGCAGGTGTTAAAATGACTTGTAGATTCTGTATTTCATATCCATCTGCATTTCAGAGGGAAAAAAATAACTCTGTGTGTTTATAGCTGACAGTAAAATATAAAATTGAAACAAAAGGCAGATATTTTTACACCAAGGGTTTCCCTTCTCCTGCTGGTGAGAACTCTTCAGTTGAATTAATTTGCTATTTTTGCATGGAGTCTGAAACATTTGGATTGACTCTCTAGGGAGAAGATAACAGGCTCTGCTGGCTGCCTAACTGTGGCAGGACTGGGCACTCAAGCCTGTAGTGCATTTTTGCTGCTGCGATTAAATTGGAGAGCTAATATGTAAGGGGTTCAAAACCATTTCTAGTCCATCACTCCATTGCTATTGTACTAAATGTTCTGTACTGTGTGAGACAGGATAGCTGGAACTGAAGAGAGAAAACAGCAATAAGCTGCTTTTTAACACACAATTTGTCCATTTGTAGCATTTTACCTGTCAATCAACCTAATTGATAATGCACTCCATAGGAAGTGAATGCCTTCCGTGGTTTAGATTTGGCTTCACTGTCCTAAGGTCTCTTTCTAGTTGTCATTTATCTCTAGGCCAGCCAAGGTCATAAAAATGACTGCAGTGTAATTGTGGGAATAAAATGACTATGGTCTGGGCATGGAATTGTGATTGTGTCAATACCCTTTGCTGATGAATATTAACAGGACCCCTGGCAATACTACGATGGATAAATAGAAGGGTAAGGAAATGTGTAAAGACACTATTGTTAGTGTCATTAGTATAAGCACTATTGGTATTGTCATTAGTAATAGATGAAAACAACATACTAGTATGAAATCTCTCATATGTTATCTGCAAATATTAATATCTTTCTGGGTTATAGTGAACAAGCAGTTGCAATGAATTATGGGAATGTGAATATTCCATTTTTTGTAGCAATTATTTATGGCAGCTTCACAATGCCATTGTCAAAAGAAGCTTCTTATACTGCTTTTTTGCCCATAGTAAGTCAAAGTTAGTAGCCATGGAAAGATGTTAATCGATGATTGGGCTCACCAGTGTAGTATATATTAAACTATAAGGTTTAAATTGGCTCTTGTGTAAACATTAAATATGTGCTCCACTTCTTGCAATATTGTTAAATTTGGAAACAACAGCTATTATTTCTGAAACAGTATACCAGTAGTGCTACTGTGAAAATGCAAGTGGTGCCCCCCCCCCAAAGTAAGTGTGTTAACTGTTATATTTTTGCAAGGATTTGCTCAAGACAACCCACAGTTCAATACAATTTATATCCAGGTCATGACAAAGCTGTGATTCCTTGACCTGTCTATCAAAACATAATTATTTTCTGAAAATTCCCTCTTTTCTCTCAAGCAGATTAATATTCATGCTATGCATTACTTGAACCCATTTCAGTAGGGAGAGCCTTAATATGTTGAACTCCAGAGATCTTAATGGAGTCTATTAAAGGTCAAATTGTGGTACTGGTAAGGCAGTAAGGGACTTAAAATGAACAACTGACAATGGAAAATATGAAGTAATGCTTCATTCATGATCTTAAAATTATCAAATAATTATTTCTCCTATTCTTAAAAATATCAATTTTTGACAATCCCTTCAGTACCCTTTTGGAATCACCATTTGCCATTCAGCCAGACTCACCACTGAAAATATGTCTTAAAAATATGTCTTTAAGAACTAGCTGGAGGTCTTTACCCACAGATTCTTTTACATGTCATGCCAAGCCAAGGACTCTCCTGCTGACACTTGACCATTTTTTACTTCAGCACTGGAGACTCCAAAAAAAACAAAAAGCCAGTCGTGTTATAAGGGTTTAAACCTTTGGTCTTATTGTTCTAAAAATCCTCCTGAACATCAAGGAGTTTAGGGGACAAACAAATGGCCAGATTGTATACACAGCCTGTAGAAAAGTGTATGAAAGTGAAAGACCAAAATCTTCGTCAAATTCCACCATTCATGGGTGTTTCCCTGTTTAACGTATTTTAATTAAAAAAGGAGATGTCTGTGAGATGTTCTGACAAGGATTTTCAGACTCACAACAGAGTCCACACCAACAAGCAACCCATTCTTTCAAGAGCTTTATAATGCTCAAAGTATTTGATTTTGGTTGTAGTCAATTTTTACATAATTTTTAAAATGAAAGGCCTATCAAATAAATACAAAACACATTTTGTAACGCAGAACTTAATATATAAAGGCAGGAGGAGAGGGGGGTTAGCATACTATAGATATCTCAGTACTCAGTGTTTAAAGGTAACTTTAAAAACCTGAAAACGTATTTTCTGTTCATATTTTTAGATCACTTGACTGTCATGCTGCAGTATGTACAACCACTTCAGTCAGGTCTTTTATAGCCTTGATCAGATATTTTGACTGAACCACTTTCAGGCCACAGTCCTCCATTTATGGACTCCCCAAGAGACACGATGAGAGGGGACGGACTAGCTGGAGCACACTCAGCTTGAGGATGGCTTGTAATTGAAACAGTAATACAATCTATACAGTAATGCACACTGGTCTACTTAATGGTGATGTCGGAAAAATGAAAATCTTCTATTAAGCCTAGTCTCCGTTAAATAGCACAATAGTGATATCACAAAAGTTGTGTGTTGTGTACTGCTGTTTTGGCTCAATCAAAATTTCATTGTTACTGAAAGCAGCAATTTGCCTTTTTATTAGGGAAGGACAAAGAGTATTATTATTTTCATGAGACAAATGTAAAAGTAAAAAATTCACTAATAGATGAGCACAAAATAGATAACATTTACTAACCCTTCTTTCAGCTCCATCCCAGCAGGCTCACAATGAGAGCAATCCGGTGAGAGCTTTTTGCAATGTCATTGTAGTTTTGACTGGACAACACATTCATTGAAAATTCTATTCTTCTTCAGTGCTGGTTATTGGCAGCACTTACCGTATGCACCACCTATGTTTTTCTGGATGATATATAAATATTCATTAGAAACCACTGATAAGTAAACCACTGATGCCTGGTTAGGGTCATAGCAACCCAGGAATTGGCCATTAAGCATAGGGTACAAGGTGGGACTATACCCTGGGCATGATGCCAGGCTAGGCCAGGGCACATACACAAAAGCACAATTAAAGGCACCAATTAACCTACCATCTGTAGAATGTGGGAGGAAACTCAGTCAAATTGGAGGGGAACATGCAAATTCCATAGAGAATATGATACAATCTGAAATTATATCTGGTGCCTAATAGCGCCTAATCACAGACCTCCACAGAACCATGCAACCTTTTACACTCTGTTGTGAATTTCAAAATTAAGAACCCTTCGTTTGACCTTAACTTAACTCCGACAGTGGGATCTTAAATGTATAACTTGTCCTGTTCTGGTTGTATTTTTCCAAGCATTGTTAAATAAGCTAAAAACAGCATGCTTTGATTTATGTAAGTTTATATTACCCAGGTGAATAACAAATGTGAATCTTCTGTGTAGACACCTTCATAGAGCAGATGCTGGAAATGGTTTCCATCCTATAGTAAGCACACCACAGAACAATAGTGTACCTACTATTGTGGCAATAGTACGAACGTTACAGCTAGTCCTGCCATTCCTGGGAGGTACAGTTATTCTCAGTTCTTTTGAAAATATAGCCTGATTATTTTTCCAGCAACGTTCATTACATTTACGTTACATTCATTTTATTGCAGTGGCAAACATTTTTAACCTTTCATCTTTAAACATATACAGATATTTCTAGAAACATTTCGTTAACTATTTTATACACTGTAGGTATACTGGTTGAAAAGGCTTAAATTTAATTCAGGATTTACACCTAGCTCCACAAGGCACTGTAACGCAGTCAGATATCCGGGTACGCGCTTATCCGCGCCCCCCCGTATCACGAGGACGCGCCTGCAAGTGGCTTCCTGTAGGCATTAGCTTCCGGATTTAAGTGTCATATGACCGTGTAAAACTAGACTGTAGAGTTGTACTGTATTTTACATAATTTTTTTAATCAGTTTAACAATGGCTACAATGGTGGGAAGCAGACCCATTGACACCCTGAATGGACCTGAAGCTGCTGCTAGACAACATGCCCAGTCTGTGACCAGAAACTACATATCGCAGCCCAGGCTGAGTATGTATTATTATATATTATAGCTGTACTTTTCTCGGGCAGAGCGGGGAGCGGAGTTACAGTAGTACTAAGTTTCAGGTTAGGTCTTGTTGTGAATAATGTATTTGAAAATGATAGGAGCTTATCAGATTACACTTATTTCTTAAAAATGGCATAACCTGACACGAATATTTAAATGATAGGTTATTGCTGATATTGAAATATTTAATTGAATCGGAACACTTTATCGATTGTGACAGCACATCTGCTTACTTATTCCTTAAAACGGAAATATTAACGCCTCTTTGATTTTAAGTTGCAAGCCAAATATATAGTTAGAATAGGTTACGACATTAATGTTATTAGGGTTTTAATGTATTTACTATTTAACATTGTTGGCCTTTTCGATTCATAATTTCGTATTTTCCTTCTAATTCGAAGGCTGAATACGGTTACACCTTTGGGTTGTTAACGCAAAGTACTAAAGCAGTTTCAGATGTGCACTAACTGCAGGATTTACATACATAAAACTGTCAGCAAGTCGCTAAGACACGTCAGTAAAATAGGCCTGTAGGAATCCAGTTTTAAGTAATGCTTTGCGATGAGAATAATGAGAACTGCGACAGATCGTGATGTGTGATCCTGTTCATGTGATAAGATCACGTGAGAGCAGATTCCGCGTCTTGTAGCAATTTAGCTGATACAATTACATGTACAGTACAACCCTTAAAAACGTATTGATGGCAATATGCATTCTGGTTTTATAATTATGTAATCGTTAAAAAATACAACTACATTATCTGGTGTTTTAGCAACACACCACAGTATTGTTAAGTAGTACGGATAAAAAAACAAGAACAGGCCAGGTTCCTCTTTAGTAAACATTTTCCTTATTTTTTTTATTCTAGTTAGAATAGATTGCATCTCTAGATTCTTATATGTATATGATTCCAAATTTCTCTAGTGAGTGTGAACAGAAGGCAATATGTTTTGAAGAAAAATCTCCAAATACAGTAAGTTTCTACTGAAGTACTACTCTTCGCTTTATTAAGAACATATTTTGACAGTACTCTTTTAGAGAGTATTCATTTTACAGGCTGTCTTGTAATTCCTCAAATAGGCATGAAAATGCCTCTGGCCAATTCAAAACTTACAACAGTTTGTTGTTACTGTTATTTATTACCTGGCCACTTTATGTGAGGTTTTAAAACCACAAACTAGGATGTTTGAACTGGATTAGGTCTTGGCATTTAAAGACATGGCACTTAGATTTCCTCCCAGATGTCATGTCTTTTCCATCCCTTAGACATATACTGTATCTCAGTGGAAGTAGTGGTGAAAGTTCCTGGCATGTTGTGTGTGATGGCATGTCAACCAAGTTAGGGTTGGTTAACTTTAGAGAAAGTCTCTAAGACATTCATGAGGTCAGAGGACACAGTTATGTTAAGCCCTTCATTCTCCCATGAGAGTAATAAGCTATATTGTTAAATTCTGACTTAGGATATACAAACATGAGAAACCATGCAGACTAATTTTAAAGGAAAAAGGCAATGTTGTTCCTGTTTTGAGACTTGGTAAATGAATGGGGACTGGTTTGAGTAGTGCCCTTGTCAGATCATAAGTGCTGTAAGTCAAAGTAAGGATGTGATATCTGTCCTTCTCATTTTTGTGGGTTGCCAAATGATCAATCGTCACGTTTTGTTTTGGGAAATGAAGTAGTTCGCAGTGAGGTTTCCTCATCTTGACATTTTCAGACAATGTTTTTTTGTGAACTGTGGGACAGTTGCCTAACATGTTTTCACACTTTCAAAATCAAACTCATTTTGTTGCCTGTCTTATTCTTATATTCTTAGGAGTATGATTTTGGGATGGTCAATATTTTTGACCCTGAAGTCAAGAGATTGGCTCATCTTTGTTTTTGTGTGTCACAGCTCCTTTTGCTTCTCACAGCTTTAAATACAAGCTGTTGTCTCTCAGGATTTGGTAATTTAAGTTGTTTTTGTCTGTATTTACACAATGAGAGAAATATTGTCATTGTACTCTTAAGTTTTGTACCCTCATCTCCAGGTAAACAGAAGAACTGTTTGTGCTCTGTCTGTTAGTTAGCCTCAGTGTAGTCCTTATCCTTTTTTGATTAATGTTACTTACTGTACATTAATTTACACCTAAAATAGACTCTGAGACAGCAAGAAAATGTTCAAAGGAAAAGTGCTAAAAAACATGGAAATAAAAGCCTCTTAGAAAACTCTTACTAATGCAAAGAACGGGAGAGTCGAGTCTTCTAAAGAAAATCGACATCCGGTTTCATAATCACATCTTGAGAAGCTCTCTATGCTTCTGTTCCATCTGATTCTAATCAGTTGGGTTTTTCTCTTATTTGCAAACAGGGATTTTCTAATAATACTGCATGAACAGATAGCTACAGGTGGCTTTACTGCGTGTACGGCATGGTTATTTGATATTACTGAGCTTTTATTCCTGACTCTGACACCCTTTGACATCCAAAGGGTGTGTCATAGCTTAACTGTTTAGGTTTTAAAACATAATAGTATCAACTCAAGGGCTTTTTAATATGAAGGGAGCAAAACACGTTCCTGATGGTAGAGTGGTGTAAGTAGTTCTGTCAATCAGTTTTTCTTATAAAACCGTGCATTTCTTCGCAGTTTGAGAATGAATCTTTACCCAAACTCTTTTGAAAAGCTATCATATCATATCATATGCTCTGTTTATATCCATTTCCACTGTTGCTTGTTCAAAGAGCTCTTACAAGTAAGTTAGGCAAGGCTTACCTTTTCTAAATCTAAGCCAACTATAGAACCCATAGAGTCATACTGCTAGACAGATACAGAATTTGTCACTTATCCACCTGACCTGCTCTGTAGTGGTTCTGCTGGTCCATTATGGCTGATAATTGTTACTAATTGTGGGATAAGAATGTTTGTGGGTTAAATTTGATGCACAATTACATTAATTTAGCTTCTCACCCTTTGGTGATGTGAGAAATCCATCCATTTAGCGGGAAAGATCACAAAATAATTAGCTGCTGCAGCACCTTCACTTTGGATGTCATTTAGCTGTATCTGACATGTTAAAACCACAATGGATCATTTACTTTGATAGCAGCAAAGTCAGGTATATAATTGAGATTTGCTGTTTTTATTAACTTTTCTTTAGATTGAAAGGTAATGGTATCAAAGATGGGTAGATTAGGTACCCCTTTATGACTCTGTCTCAGTTTTATAGATTTGCTAAAGTAAGCAAAGGGCAGTCTGTCAGTGATGCTAGGAGCAGAGCCGTGATGTGCTGCAAGCTAGCTTGAACACTCCACTGAAGGACAGGACTGTGCTGAAGGGCTTGGAATGTGTTTTATCATCCTGCTTCTCTTTCTGTCCTGCATATGGATGAGCACATGAACCAGGCTCTTCCCAGTTGACCTGTTCTGGACTCGTGGTGACACATCAAGTTGTCCTTCTCTGGTTCCCAGAAGGACATTTTCTGGACCCAACTGCCTGTTAAGATATTGTCTGAGTGCAATTGCAGCATCTGTAGGCAGGCTGTCAGGTGGGAGTCCTTTGTTAGCATTGTGTCTGTCTACCTGCTGAGCTAAAAGCATTCAGATCACTCAGAAGATTATTCACAATGGAGGTGTTACATCGGTATTAAAGATGTACAAGGGGGGCTGGTAAACACAGGCAGATCATTAAAGTAAAAGGACTCTGCCATTTTTTCACCATTTAAAAGGCCAGGGTATTTAGTACTTAATTATTTCTAAACTTGGTGCATTAGCCTACAGTACCTCTTTATGATGCTTATTATCACGCAAGCTTTAAATGTTGCAAACAGAACTTCTTCAAGCCTTGAAAAGTAGCATTTCCTACTTTGCTGTATTTTATGTCCTTCAGTAATGGTGTTCATGTAATTTATGTGCTATATAATTTTTTTTTCTGAATTTATTTCTTGCAATAGCTAGTCAAAAAACAGAACAGGAGTTTGTACAATGGACATAATCAGTTTTATAAACACTTTAACACCATCTCCTCACACAACTCTCATCGTGACGTCAACTATATCAGTGATTCTCCTGTGGGCCGTCTGTCACTGAATAATGTAGCTGAATTTCTGCTGTGGTCTTAAGTGTGGATATTACGCGAAAGTCAACACAAATCTTTCACACTTGGAATGAAAAGAGTTGTTAACCTCAGGCCTCTGGAAATAAAAGGCTGAATTTGTCCATTACACCACCCCACCCAGATAAGGGTGACCTCTCACTTGTGCTGGCTAATCCTACTGTGTGGTATTAATCCCATCTTGAAGCTGAATTTTTGCAATGGAGTCCTTTTCAAGTGTATCTAGTCTTTGTTTGATTAGAACATTTCACCACATTGTTTGCTCATACCTGAGACTGGCTGCTATTAAACCCTGCCTAAAGGCACATTTGGCGTTTGACAGGTCCTTTCTAATTCAGTAATTGTGCTTTTGTCCAGTGCAAGTTGCTTTTATTGTCCTGCCTTGCAGAGTAAGCTTCAAATGTAGTGTTTTTCTTGTGGAATTGTGTTATATTTTGCATAAATTTAAAATGTTACATGCTGAACAAAGTGAAAGCATTGAGTTGGTTCTATATTTAAAACAGGCCTTCTTAACTATGTCATGTTGTTGTCATGACCGTTGCTAAATGTTTGTTGCAGGAGAGCTTTTATTAGCCATATCAGAAATGTATGCTGTCAAAAATTTGTATCTGTTTCATATAGCCAGGATTACCATAAGCCTTCTAAAATGTAGAGTTGTTTTTCTAATTTGATGTGCAATGTACTTTCCTCTGAGGAGAAATTATTTGAGCATGATTAAATGAAAATGTAATAAATCTAGTTGTTTGGTTAGTTTTAAGGCTCAATTTATATAGATTCAAGGTGATATTTTCTTCTCTCATTCTAAGTATCTGGTTGACATTGAATGTATCATGAAATAATCATGAAAAGGGTTTGAGGTTTCTTGTAGGAATGTCCCTCCACTTTCCAGATGTA